TCTGGGCAGCACACCACAGCATCCACTAGTAATGTCAACAGTGATTGTCTCTGGGTTCGGGGATTAAGGTTGGTCTTCTCTCTTTTTTTAATAAAAATATTTTCTAAATTTTCCACACTGAACATGGCATTGTCCTAAAGATTAAATGAGTTAATTTATGTAAAGCACTTAGCACAATTCCTGGAATTTATTAAATACTCAATAAATTTTGCTATAATTATTTTGTTTTTAGAAATATGTATATACATACATTTTAAAGATAAAACATACATGTGGATATTGTCAAGAAGAAAGTAAGAAATAGAAATAAAATAATAGACCTTATTGTTAATTTTGTCTTATTTTATCTGTAAAATTCTTTGACTTTTTTTTTTCCAGCATTTCCTAATATAATTTTTTTGTAATGATGGAAATTTTGGTACCTGTACCATCCAATACAGTAGCCACTAACCTCAGCGAGCATTTGAAATGTGGCTAGTGCAAATGAAGAACCAAATTTTAAATTTTGCTTGGCTTCAATGTACTTAAATGTAAATAGCCACATCTTGCTAGTGACTACTCTATTGGACAATGCAGTGACTACTCTATTGGACAATCTATATCAATATTAGGCAATGATGAGAGAATAGATCTAAAATATTCTTCCTCTCTTAAAGCTTGAATTAGTTCCTCAACTCAATATCTGGTATAATCCCCTAATCTTGATTTCAAAATCACTTTGTATTTAGATGTATAGAAAAACAAATGAGAAGTTAATTAAATGTAAAAAAAAAGTGGTTTTTTTGGAGGGGGTCAGAATTTTTTACATACAACAGAGAAAGTAATTTAGTTGCAAGTTCAGTGCTAAAAGGCTATATAATATGTTGCTAATTGTATGGTATTGTCTGGTATTTCTTAGTAAATATTCTGAAAAGAAAATGAAAGAGGTTGTTCCATATCAAATATCTAGTTCCTCTTGGTAAACCAAAAAGATTACTCACTGAAATCATATATTTCAACCATACTGTCAACATAATAAGGGAGATAACTGCAGAAACAATTTGAAAATGCCTGAATAACAAGGTGTAAGTCTCTTACCTCTGAGGTGGGAGGAATATGTGTATGTGGATAACTCACAGCAGCCATGTTTGTGGAGGAAAGAGACACAGATCTTGGTTTGCATCTCAGCCCTTTTCAATTACTAGTTGTGTGTACTTTGGACACATTACTTAATTTCTGTATAAGCAAATGGTAATAACTTCATCTACCCTTAAGATTTGTTGGAAGATTAGTGAAGCACCTGAAACACAGTAAGTGCTAAATCAATGACACTTTTGTTATTATATTAGTATTATATCAAGAAAATAGACTAACAAAGGGGAAGTAAGCCCAAATATAAAATCTGGATTGTAATTAACTGACATAATCATTAAATTATAAAATTATTTTTGGTGTATGTTGCTTTATCTGTATATTGACCATACATAAAATTTAGTCCACTGTTTATCAAATAAATGAAAGAAGTGATGGCTGAATGAACACTTTGCCCTGTCCTTAATGTCCTTTTGCCCCCCAAATAGGTTATCACTAAAATAGTTTTGACACTGCCATTGTCACTAGAGATATTTTCAAAGAACCTATAAAGAGTAGTATCAAATCAATGGTCTTGAGCAGAGTTATTTTTCTAGACTTAACAGGAGAGATTATGGCTTAAATTAAGAAACAACTTCTTAAGCAGTATCACTATAGAAGCAGTTAAGGGCTTCCATCCTTAGACATTTTTAAGAAGACAGATAAATATCTTCCATGCTGGAAATGTCATCAACAACTGTGGTAGCCAGACCTTGGGACAGCTTCCATTGATCTTTGCTTGTTAGCATTCATGTCCTTCCCTAGTCTCCTGCCCAAATTCAATCAAGGCTGGCCCTGAATGTAGTCAAGGTGATGTGTGACTTCCAAGGCCATGTCATAAAAGGCATTGCAGCTTCTGCTTTGGTCTCTTAGATTGATTACTTGCTCCATGTTAAGCCAGTTGGCATGCTGTGAGGACACTCAAGCCATCCTGTGAAGAGGCCAATGTAGCCAATAGCCTGGACCAACTTGCCAGACATGTGAGAGAGTCAGTTTGGAAGTGGATTCTCTAATCCAAAAGAATCTTCAGATGACTGCACCCCTAGCCAACATTTGACTGCAACCTTATGGGAGACTGAAACAGAAATGCCCAATTGAGCCGCTCTTGGAAGCCTGACTCACAGAAATTGTGAGATAATACATGATTTATGTTGTTTTAAAGTTGCTAAGTTTTAGGTTTATTTGATATGCAGCAATAGATAGCTAACATTATCGATAACAAACATTTATTGCTACTATACAAAATATGTGTTTCTAGGTTGAACCATATGATCATTCACGGAAACTCCTTGCTTTTTAACTTTCATATTTTAACAGCTTTGGATGTCGTTAACTATATCTTTTTCTATAAAATTTTTGTGCAAATCATAAGAATCGGCCAAATATTTAATGAACATCTATTAAGTTTAAAGTATTATTCTAGGTGCTCAGCTGATTAAAAGGTATGATGATGCTAATGATAACAATAACAATAGTAACAATAATGATAGGTATTATTAATACTTATTAAACATCTTAGTAACAATAATGATAGGTATTATTAATATTTATTAAACATCTACTTTGTTTTTGAACACTGTTCTAGACTAGACACTGTACACGTACTCTCACTTAATCTTAATATATACTGTATTTCCAAGTTTTCCAGAAAGGTCATACAAGTTACAATCCCATCTGCCATGAATAAGAACACACTGCATGTTTACCATCACTTAAAAAAAAGTTTAAAAAAAAAATATGATAGGTAAAAAATAGAAGTTTAATCTGCATTTCTAGGATTACTAGACCTTGATATGAAGCACATTAAACCTTTGTCTGACATATATTACAAATGTTTTTTCCAGATGGATATAGTATTTTATTGATGTTTCTATATATTTGAGTCAATCTCTTCATTTGTAATTTCTTCCGATTTTTATTATTAGAAGGTTTTTCTCTATTTCTAGGTCAATTAAATTTTCACTTGTATTTTTTTCCAGTTTGTGGTTTTCTTTTTTACCCATGTAATTATTTTGTTGCTGGATATAGGAAAACGGTCTTTTTAAAAAAAGAATTATGTCTTGTCTACAGCCATGCCATCCTGAACACGCCTGATCTCGTCTGATCTTGGAAGCTAAGCAGGGTTGGGCCTGGTTAGTACTTGGATGGGAGACCATCTAGGAATATCGGGTGCTGCAGGCATTTTAAATGAATAAATAAAAATAATCATGTCTCCTTCACTATTAACTGAATGTTTTCCTTTACCTGCTGATTTATAATGCCACCCTTACTAAGAAATTTTTATATTACTTGGGTATGTTTACTGTTTTATAATCCTCTTTCATTGCCTGTTAGTTTTGGTGCTAGTACTTTTTTTTTTTGATTATTGGCTTCCACTCATTTATGACAAACCATCACATTCCCTTCCAGTAAGCTTCCCTGATTCTAACAAAAAAAAAAGATTGCTGCCTCCTTTTTTGCCTTTATAACATAGAAAATTCTGCCTTGTATTACAGTTAACAGAGTTGCTCTTATTCATTTATATTCTTGAGAGCAGGGAACAAGTGTATTCTGTATTTATTAAAATTAAACTATGGAATCTGCATTAAAAGGTAGTAATGGCAGAACAGCTCTAGTTTGACAAAAAAAAAAAAATAGAAATTCCCTCCTTTATTCAACAAACATTACTTACTATTCATTATGAAAAGATTATAAAGGAAAGTGAACCCTAGTTTCTCCCTTACGGAGTTCACCACTTAGTAGAGGAAAGACATGTAAAAATATACGTGATTCAAGACATGGAAGCCACCTAAGTGTCCTACAACTGATGACTGGATAAAGAAGATGTGGTACATATATACAATGGAATACTACTTGGCCATAAACAATGATGAAATATTGCCATTTGTGACAATATGGATGAATCTTGAGAGTACCATGCTAAGTGAAATAAGTCAGATGGAAAAGGACAAGAACTGCATGATCTCACTCATGTGGGGGATATAAAACAAAAAGCGACAAAAGAACAAATAAACGAACTCATAGACTCAAACAATA